CACACACACACACACACACACACACACACACACATTTAATTGACTTCCATCCATTCCTAATCCTAACCTTTCTCACACGCACACAACAATAAAACCAGGCACCAAGTTTGCAGTTGATCAGTGAACAGGTGCTAATGCAAACATAGACTTAAATCCAGATGTATAAACTTAATACATATGTATGTATAACAGATACTAATCTGTACAAGCCTTTACTCTGCACAACTCATAATACAAGCTCTTTGATTCCTCCTGAGCGGAGAGAATCCAGAAGTCTTGTGTTTCCATAACAATCTCAAGCTGAAGATTTGTGAGCAGGAAACTGCTTCTGTCACAGCATTTATTTATTTTTCCTTGGGTCTTTTTTTTTTGCAACACTTTTATCGAATGGATTTTACTGGTAAGAGCCAAGTGGGGACAAATGTGAGCAGACACCCCACACACATGCACAGACACACACACGCTTACACACAAACACACCCACTCCTGAATTCACATTTTAAAGCTTATGCTGCTTTTTGATGAAGCTTTGTCTGCTCAATGAACAGACTTGCTGCAGAAATATGGATTTTATCAGTCTTGCACTGATGTATTATGTGTGTAAGTGCAGCACACACAGCTCCCTCTAACCTGCACAACATTGTGTCATTACTTTTCCTCTAAAGGAGATGTTACAGATGCAGAGATACAGTAAAGTGTTCAGTGGAAATTGATTTGTTCCCTGTGGTATCGTGCACTGAGGAGGCAAGTTTCACAAAACCTGCTAAAAATGGTCAAGCTCTGTCAGTGCAGTGTGAGTGAAACACACCCCCAGCGTTTGCAGTCTGCATTACTCAGCCCTTCAGTATTTCTATAGAGGATACCAGACATCTTTCTACTTGTCATCACTGCTCTCAGCAGGGATGTGTTTTTACTTGTGTGTTTCTATCTCACATATTGTAAGAGAAGATCCTCTCTCTGTGATGGGAGTCGTGTGTTATCTTTTTTCTAATTGCCTGGGAGAGTGAGCTAACAGACAAAAACATGCCCCTATTTGTTTATTGCGTACCTTTATTTATTACCATCGTATTCTGACATCATTGATATTGCTCGGACGAAGATACTGTCAGTGTTCCCGCCTTTGACATGTGCTATCATGAGAGGCACTGATCTCGTTCCCATTACGACTATCTCTCTACTTCTTCACTCTCCAGTTTTTGTGTTTATCCTCTTTGTAAAAATCTTACACTTCTCACTGCGTGAACATCTTCCCCTTCTTTCCTATCCTTGTCTTTACCCCCCCACCTTCTGTCTGTGGTGTATCCCCACCTCCCTCCCTCCTCATTCTTCCGTCTACAAGCAGCTCGGATGAGTCTCGAGCCACTTCAGCTCTGTCCGTGCCCAGTTCAGCTGGGGCCATGATCGGCTCAGTGGCACCGTTCAATATCTCTGTCCCTGGAAACACATCGGAAACACTCAAAGGTTATTACTTCAGCTTATTTCTTTGTTAGCTATTTGCCATTCATGTATATATATATATATAAAATGTAACACGTAATTTGTTGTGCACTTATTTTTAGTTTTAACACTTTTTTAAAGTTTTCATGTATGATTAAGTCTCTGTAAATCAAGTGATACATTTGCTGACAAGATGATAAAGATGATTGTATTATTTTGGAAAATGTCTTGGTGAATCTCCATATATTAAATAAAACTCTTCCATTCCAGATCACCTGGCCTCAGACCCAGCCCCTGACGCTCCCCATCCAGAAACAGATCAACTTGCTGAGGACGTATCCCTTTCCTCTGAAAGACGTCCTGGATCCAACATCAAGCCCATCCTTCCTCCCATCCCCACTGGGCGCAAGACCCCTGCAGCACCCAGCCCGGCCCCTTCTCCCAGAGCAGTCGTAGAGGGAGGACATGCGAACACAGAGCAGTGAAAGGTTCAGAGTATCTCACATCTAAGAAAGTCATTAATAAAAGTAGCTGCTGATTGTGAGACTACAGTTTTAACATTGGAAGACAATCAAACAAGGGTGATCAGTTAATATCTATATATTTTTACAAGTACATAAGTTCAAATGTTAGCTTGCTATGTTGAATTAAAAGAACATCAATAACAGACAACCACAAAAACCACAGATTAAGGTGCGATACACTGAAGCCAAACCCTGTCTCAGTGTCAGCCTCTGCCTGTGTTCTGCTTCTCATGTCACAACACGTCTGGATCTCTCACATTTGCTTTGTACCATTTACTTGATAAGTGAAGGTGTTAATGAAGCAAAGTCGTGTGTTTCGTCATTGGCCTGAAGCTACACAGTGTTGACACACATTACAATTCAGGCTCACGTAGATTGACAAACATGTCTTTCAGTTGAGATAAATACAGTGAAGCAGAAAACACCTCCTTTATCTTTCTACATTAATATCTCAGATTTATGACCAGAGAAGGGACGTATTCATCTTGGAAAAGTTCATGTTTTCAAGTCTGTCATGTTTTATGAATGTGGCATTCATTTTCCTGACAGTGAAGTGGCATTATGCTTCCTACTGCTCAGTAATCTCATCAAATAGGATTTGCTATTGACAACTAGATACTGATCTTTTATGTGTAGCGTAGAGCTCTTGTCATCGGATGATAAATACATCATTAATCTTTATCTTGTGTGATGGGATTATTTATTCAACTGGAAAATCATTCATATGGAAGTTGTTGACAGGTATTAAACAGCGAGCCAAAACAAAAATGTCTTTGTGTGTGTGTGTGTGTGTGTGTGTGTGTGT